GCCAGAAGGGCTGGCTGTCACCATGTCACTGCTCTGATGGCCTGTTGATATCTCCCCAGGTAACTGTGTCATTGTCAAACCCTCGGAGACATCCAAGAACACTGAGAGACTTGTTGCTGAAGTGCTGACTTGCTACCTGGACAATGTAAGAAGCTCTCCCTGTCCTTGGCCCTGGCCCTGGCCCAGGGCCATGGTGTTCCCAGCCCTGCCTGGCACACACCAGTGCCACACCATCCCCAGTCTCAGGCGCTGCCGTGCCTCCTTCCTCCATGCTCAGCCGGCGTCCACACGCCCAGCAGCTCAAGATGCTGTTGATGGGGATGGACAGAGCAGTTCAGGGAGATGCTGACAGCGCGGGACCCTTCTTCTTGTGTTGCAGGACTGCTTTGCTGTGGTGACCGCTGGCATGCAGGAGACCACCAGATTGCTGGAGAACAAGTTCGACTACATCTTCTTCACCGGTACGTCCCAAGATCTGAGCTCTGCCTGGTTTCTTGTGCATTGAAGAAGAGGGATTCCCTCTGGGCACCCTGCTGTGGCTTACCCTGCCCATCAACGTGAGACAGTGGGAAGCCTGCCTGCAAACAGGACCCCTTCCTTGCCCTCTAAGAAGGCAGGGCTTGTGTTGGAGATCTGCTGTCAGGATCTGTTGGAGGATCTGGGCTGTGTGTGTCTGAGGGTCTCGTGGGACTTGGTGCGTTTCCCCTGGACCTGGCTCACCAGAGCGCCGTGTCCCACAGCTGTGCCATAGCTGCTGGGATCCTCACTGTGATGCATCTCTTCCCTGCCCACAGGCAGCCCCTCCGTGGGGAGGATCATAATGACAGCCGCTGCCAAGCACCTGACGCCCGTGACGCTGGAGCTGGGGGGCAAGAACCCCTGCTACGTGTCTGACATCTGCGATGTGCAGAACGTGGCCCGGCGGGTGGCCTGGGGCCGCTTCTTCAACGCGGGGCAGACCTGTATTGCTCCTGACTACGTGCTGTGCAGTGTGGAGATGCAGGAGAAGCTGATGCCCGCCCTGCGCGAGGCCATCACTGAGTTTTTTGGCTCCAACCCCCAGGAATCCCCTGACTTTGGCCGCATTGTGGGGGACAAGCAGTTCCGCCGCATCCAGGCGCTGCTGTGCAGTGGGCGTGTGGCCATTGGAGGACAGACGGACGAGAAGGAGCGGTACATCGGTGAGGGCACGGGGCCTGGGGCTTATGGGACCACCCATGCCTGTGCACTGTGTGACACATTGCCATAAACCTTCTCCACAGCTCCCACGGTGCTGGCAGATGTGCTGCCTTCTGATCCTGCCATGCAGGAGGAGATCTTCGGGCCTATCCTGCCCATCGTTGTTGTGGCCAGCATGGATGAAGCCATTGACTTTATCAATGCGCGGCCACCGCCATTGGCCATCTATGCCTTCTCCTGTGACAGCAAGGTGTGTACGGTCCGTGGACCAGAAAGGAGGGTGAGGGAAATGAGACAGCAGGGCTAGTGCCCACCTCACTGAGGCCCCATGGCATGCTCTGGAAGGGTCTTTGGAGCCCAGCTGCTCTGGGCACACCAGGCTGATGTATGAGTTGGGTGATGTTTGACAAGCGCTGCCTGTGGACCCCAGGTGCAAGACCCCCATCCAGCTTCTCTGCTTCCCTCCCAGGTGGTGAACCAGGTGCTGGAGCGGACAAGCAGCGGTGGCTTCTGCGGCAACGACACCCTGATGCATGTGACGTTGACCTCGCTGCCCTTTGGTGGGATTGGTATGTCCAAATCCCCCAACCTGCCTGCCCCTGGCCAACGGGAGCCAGGTGTGATCCTACCCATGGTGCCTGAGCCATGCTGGCCATGGTGAGGAAGGGTCTCAGGAGAGACGGGGCACCCAGGCCTGGGCCCCAGGTCCCAAGGGCTCCGTGGAACTTGGAAGT